CACGGGGGATCGAACCCTTAACAGTACCTTATGCTTCTTTTTTGGTACTGCTAAAACCGTTCAGCGAAAATGAAACATGGTTTTGTGTTCCCTACATGCGTCCCTACAATATGCAAAAACCGTTTTGAAAAAGCGTGGCTTGCCCTGAAAGACCTTCCTTGTAAGAGAATCGCTGGGTCTACGCTTATGCAGCAGGGAATTTCCATTGCCTCAATTTCCCTATGATAATGACCTACTTCAAAAAAAGGTTATGGGAATAAATAATACCGAATGTTCTTTCAAAGTCTGGCTAATCTGCATTCGAAGAGTCTCGACTTCCTCTCGTAATTCACGAATAACTCGAGCGTTAGGATCCTGCAAAAAGCATCGTTTTCAACGAAATGATGGCATGAACTATGGCTGCTATTGCTTTTACGAGCTCATTTAAAACGAATGCCACGATGAAGGATGAAAGCTGTGATTAAAGATGATTCAAAAAATAGATGGCTGATGAGGTCACCTCGTTGACAACGGCATGGTTAACGATTCTCTTGGCACGATCGGCGTAACGTAGAGTGGATAAAGTTTCTTCGTAGTTGTCAGCAGCCGGCGAGATCGTTGCTATCATTACCGTACGTGAATTGCCACCAAGATTATCTTTTAGTAGCCTAAAACATTCTAATCAGTGTCATCAGTGGAGCGATCTAATTCATAAGGCCAGTTTCTGGGCAGTTCCTATCGGAATGTTCGTTGCAATACAGCTCTGAAAGTACAAGGCTCCCGTTGTAGTAAGGAAATTTTACGAGTCAAGCTCAAGAGCTAAACAGGGTCTCGAAAGGCGCTATCACATGTGACATTATTCAGGCGCTGATCTGTCTTTACATGTTTCTCCATCTCAAACCAGCAGAACGATCTTATGGAACCTCATTGAAAATGCAGCTGAAACTGTACAGCGAAATCTCAACCGATTCATTCCCGTTTAAGGAACAGGGCTGGGAAGTACTAATAACCGCGAACAGAAAAGAAGCTCTCAGTTTACTTCTCATTCCTCAAATAAAGGCTGCAGTGTATCTTACTGCTCGCACTGCTGTTTGCTCCAAATCCCCTTATCGATACCACTATCTCACGTACAAAAAAAAACAGGCTTCAGCAAAAAAAATGTAAAAAGGTGGCGTAGTCTGCAAAACAATCAACTGGTTCCAATATGTCACCAAAGTTGTTGCACTTGCCCAAGCACTGAGCTCCCATATCCTTCTGTGCCAATCTACTGATCCCAGGATCGTTTTTGCAGGGCAGGAACGCTGTCACAAAGGCACGGGTCATGATTAGATCTTGATGAAATACTCCCCTGGAGTGAGGCAGCAGGACCCCTAATTCTCACCCTTAGTGAGATAGCACGACCCTTGGCGCGATCTGAAATTGCGCAAAAGGGACAAAAGGGAAACCGATCCCCTTGTTTAGGCGCTGCGACCGCTGCCATTCTTATTAATCGCAGCACATGTGACACCTGCGCCCTGTCGCGAACAGCGTGCTCTCTTGCGTCTTCCCTTTCCTCGTAGTGATGTGCCTCTCTGTAGCACCACGGGCGACCTCACGAAAAATTCGAGTTGTTCCATAGTGCTTTCGTGTTTTTTCTCTCTACTGTTCCTCTTCGCACTTTTTGTCTAATTTTTGAACAGAACAACACACCAATTCGGTCGCCACCCGTGCCCCGTGCCTTTAAACGTTGGCTTGCCTCTACAATGTTACCAAACGAGTCTGCTGCACATTATTTTGCACCCCAACCCCAACTAGAAGGTGAGTGTAGGGAGCATCTCAACGAAGTTAATCCTGACAACTTTGTTCAATAACGTTTACCTTATGTGTGACTTTCAGTTGTATATAACCTTCCAAGTAGAGAGCACTTTGGGGTCCATTGAAAGCTTGGCATTCCCACTTACCACTGCCACAATAACCCTCGTCCGCACCTCTGCCCTACTTATCTATTCCTCGGTAGACTTGCTCAACTCCAGCAGAATCGATTCTCGTTCCGACTCACCAAGTAAGCACTGAATCACGATATGGAATGAATTTCTCTTTTTTCCCATTTGAGCGCTCCGCCAGAGCGGAAATGACCATTCCGAGAGTGGTGAGCGATCTGGAAAAAACCTCAGGTTCATCACTGAGGACAGATTAGCGGCAAGTGAACTTATGTTAGTGGAACGCACTTGTTGATGTTACCACCTTCTTCAAGGCGTTTACCCATAGCACCAGTTTTACCAGCCCGTTCACTGCCAGCCAAATCGACCAGGGAAATTTTGGCCACTTTTTCTCCAGTAAACTAAAACGTGATAATCAATAAGTTCTACAGTATTCCAGCTCGTGCAAGATCCACACTCAGGCGCTCACATCCTTGTCGATGTCCTTCAGGATTTGTGTGAGCGTTATGTTAAACACGGCGTGAGAACGGGAACTCTCGGCGTTCATATTTGTTGCCGCCACAGTTCTCGACTTATTTCCTTCTTCGATTAGCGACGCGATTTGCTAAAGCAGATGCTGATTTGGGAAAAAAGATATCGTGAAAACTCTGAACGATGCAGGAGGCAATGCAATCGGAGAAGCCGATGGTGCAAGTAGCCTTTTTGCAGTAAATAGGCCAACAAATCTATTTGCTCTGTACCTCGAATGAATTCACAGCCAGTACGGATAAGCCGTCGACAAGCGGACCAAGAATCTTATGCTCTCGCACTTTCAGATGATGTTTGTTTGACCTAGAAAAGAAAGCAGAGTGAACTTATTTTGCACCACTAATTCAATTAAAATGAAACTTCGCATGGGAACCCAATTTTCTAGCTCGACACGGCCCACGCACGTTCCAGCATGAGCTTTCGTCGACAGTTGAGATCTCGTCCAGTACCCATTATTACTCAAATCTGGAGGGTGAGCGAATATCACATACTTTTTCGGATCCAAAAGATCTCGTACACGTTCGTTATAAATTTCCATGTAGGAAACTTCCACTTTGTACTGAAGACTCTCGCAAGTGGTTTCTCTGATTCTTCTGAATACCTGAAATAAAAGGAGAGGTCATTTCCAAATAAGTGACGTCTATTGTGTATCTCAAATAGCACGGGTATTCGACAGGAGGCCCGTCGAGCGGCGAGAGAGCAGGGACGTAGTGTAACTTGACGCTAAATCACTACAATACGCGGTGTGACTCGTCCGCTGAGCCTTCTGCATCTCGACCTTCTCGCCGCGCGACGGGCCTCTTGTCGGGTGTCCTAATTAGCGTCTGTGGCAAATGGTAAGATACATGGGCGCACGCGCGTGAGTGCGTTGCAGTTCACCTCCTCAGGTCAGGTCACCTAAAATTGAGACACCACTCATTTGCTCGAAGCAAGCTTAGGACTAAGCCTAGGCCCAATCATAGGCTTAAGCATAAGCCAATGTGTAAGCATAAGCCTAAACCTAAACCTAAGCTTAACCTTAGTTTCAATGATCGCGCAGCTCTGGTGACCTAACCCCAGGAGGAGAACTGAGCGTCCCCCGCGAACGCAGCACATGGAAGAATTGGTGCCTGTAAGAGCTCGTAACTATGCATTAATGCCATATATAGCATTAATGAATATTTCAAGAACGCACACGTTTTCGACTACGACCAACGAATCAGACTGAGTGCTATACACCAAATTGGAGATACCTCTTACCTCATTGCACAGACGTGGTATAATTCCAGGCTGCTCAGAAGTGCCCATCATTGAATACGATTTACCGGAACCTGACAAGAAAATTTGACCAGAATTTAATTTTAGGAAATGGTTCAAAGAAAGTTACCTGTCTGCCCGTAAGCGAAAATACACGCATTATAACCGGCGAACGCATTTTCCAGAACACCTGATCCAAGGCTGTTGAACACTTCTTCTTGACCTTAAAAGCTTACTGTTTTCTTAGGAGTTCGACTACAGTTACCATATCTGCTGGCCACATACTTGCAAAGTTTGGATCATTGACGTCGGTGGAGTAGAAAGAGTGATCGAAGGCGAAGGTTTTCGGTTGTTTACTGAAAAACACAGTGAAAACCCTGAACCGTGAAGAAAAACATGAGAAGCGGAAGCAACAGGCAACGTACTCATCAGAGACGTGATTTAATATCGTCTGTCCGTTGCACATTCGCACAACAGCTTTCGTATTCAAATCCAATTCTGAAAAGAGTAACATCGATTTCTCTGCTGCTTCAAATTATTTCAACGACTTTCTTGTCCTGTGTATCGCACCTTTCTCGGATACAAAAATAGCTAATATTTTCTTGAACATTCTCGGAGCGCAAACTCAATGCCGGAGGTCACCAAGTGCAAAACAAGCTTCAAAGCACTCCAGGTTTCGGAAGGTAAGGAAATGAAGTTGAGGAAGTAAAAGGCACGGCAACCACCGCGGGTCAAATCCCGCCCAAGCTAAGCGAAGTTTTGTGAATAGGTATCACACTCGCCTGGGTGGACGAATCCACGGCCTCCTATGACCGCTAGTTCCCAACTCATTTTATGGGTCTAACTGGTGTCCAAAGCAACATTCTACTTGATTTTAGTGAAGACAAATGTGCGCGGGCGCGCATCCCAAACAGAACCCCCAGCGCCAACGCTTTTCCACTCTTTTTCGAGACCATATAGGGTACCAGATGTGACACGGGCGGTCGCAAAGAGGGTCCCTGTACGGATCGATACCTATTCCCTTGGTTCACAAATTTCATCCACTTCACACGTCACGACTGCGTATGTGGTGCCCCAGCACACCTTGGATGGACTTTACGAAATATTAAAAAGGATAAAGGATAAAGCATTTGCCGTTGATCAATCCCTTTTTGGGATGCGGCACGCATTCTACTTCCATTTGTACATTCGTAGTGGCGTTTGAATGCGATGTGGCCTATACAATGACTTGCGGGGGCCAGCCGATGTACAAGTCAGTGTTTTTATCCTCCCAGACAAGTCTGGTACCAATTAACCGACCCCGGAGGGATGGAAGGCTTGGTTGGCCCGGGCGACTCACGACCCAGGATTTGATCCCGGACCGCTCGCGTGGTAAGCGTGCCACTTGCCACTACACCACTTCCGCCCAAAATATTAGTTGGTTACTAAAATCGAATTAAACCCTATTGTATCATAAAACGCCATATGTCCTTAATTATCGCAAGATTTCAGGTGAAGCCCAAGTAACAAGGGAATTTATACCTTTGGTTTCCCTGAAATAAGAGCTTTGGACGGTTTCAACACGTCACCACAGGGCTATTTCACAATGGTACATTGCTCAGTAGTCCCTCTATGAAAGACTCATTTCAGAAGGTTTAACGAGGCATTCGATTCCTTTGGTATCCCGAAGGAATCGTTTGCCCTATTGATCGCCCACTAAGCCTAGCTTTTCTCCATGAAAGTGTTCCACTGAATGAGGAAAAAAGGATTAAGGTCTTCGATCCTTGAAATCTTACTTTCCTCGTACATTAGAAAGTATAAGCGAGTTTTCTAAATAGAGCATGGCTAATGTGAACCAGCTAATAAAAACCAAATGATGACGGTAGGCAGCTTTCAGCGCTACCTTTAACCCAGAACAGACCAATGCCTGTCGCCTATGAATAATGGTATTAAATTTTTGGGAGTGTTAGAAAACAGTCAGTGAAGGTGCTGATGAATAAGATTGGGCATACATGGCGCGCATTTATCGGTAACCCTATCCCAAAATGAGGGTCGTCTTTTCCACAGCAGATGATTCCCCAAATGACTACTAGGGCGCTGTCGTTGGATGATATTCCAGGGGATTTCCTGTATAACATACTACTATACTAATTTTTCTATAATATTGTGTTTTTCAGGACGCTCACTCACTCCATGCAATGTAAAAATACTAGAAAAGCTTAAAAAAGCAAAACTTGGAAAGAAAACAAATTTCCAAAGACCACAAACTTCATCAACAGAGCATGGCCATTCAAGGTTAATTACCCCTAATTTCCCTTTCATTGAAACCGTTGTATGGGCGGTAACGGTTTGGTCGTCTAAGGCACCGCTACCCTCAGACTCTCCGAGTGTCTAGCCTCGACTTGAAAAAGTTCACCATAAACAACCTTACGGACCCAGCGAGCTCGACTTTGACATCCGAATCGTCTGGGAGGACAACACATTGATGTTCACATCATCTCTTTGCAAATCATTGTATGTGCCAATTGGATTCGAAATTCCTCCACGACACTGAGTGGAGGTATGTGCGTGGCGCATCCCAATATGGGTTCATGAACTCCAAATGATAATACCATCCAAAATTCAATAGCACAGATGTTCGACGTTCGATGAATCTTGGCATCGTGCGTGGTATACGTTCTTAGGCTTGCTTCTAAAGCCACAAGCCAAAATGATACAAGACTTTATTAGGCTAATGATTATGGTACGAGTATACGGTAACGTTCTATAATACTATCCCAAGTTGAATAGCACAGATTCGACGTTCGATGAACCACCCTTTCTTTTGACCTAGAGTCTAGCGGTGGTCTCAACAAAATCCTACCGTACATCTAAGGCTCTGACGAAGGCGACCAAGCCGAAACGTTAGCCGAATAAAGTCTTGTACCATCTTGGCTTGCGGCTTTAGAAGCAACCTAAGACGAATATCCAAGGTTTCCTATGAAAATCCTACGCAGCGACCAGCCTACTTCGCTCAATTTCTGCTCTTTCTGTGTAGATCCCTTCCCCCTTCACCAAGGGCTCTGCGACGGCCGTCATTCTTTCATCGTCGTGCGTTTTTATGAGATCATCGCGAATTGATGGCGGGAATTCACAGCTAATTTATGAATCGTAAAGAAAGTGATGACAAGACGATTTGGTCTTTCTCTTTCGCTAATGAATTGTTGTTTAAAGTGGCGATTCGTCAGCCGAGCAGAAAGGAAAGACACTTACAGCCCGATGGGAAAGAACGTCGTTTGCCCAAAGGTCTCCGATTTCTGTTTGCCAGCGGATAACCCCCTCATAATCTTGAGCATAACAATTCCTTCTCGCCTTCACATGGTAGCTTAGCGAAGCGTACCCACCAAAATATTTTCATGAAGAGGACACTTGAAAGAGAAAATCGGAAATCGAAACGTGAACAAACCTCGCTTATTGAATGGACGAACACGTACAGCGACTTTCACCTTTTCAGAGTCGTCAGCAGTCATTTTTTTACAGGAAGAAGTTAATGAATTGCGTTACTATTATTATATTTAGAAATACACTTAAAATGGCAAATAATGACGATAGATATGTAGGAGGAATGCGCACAGCTTCGTTCAATAGCACATCTGAAATGAACGAGTTTACGAGCGTTACTGGTATTAACCAATTCGGACGGACTCCTGCGACCGACTGCAGCAATACACGAAACGAAAAGCGGCTGAATTGAAAAACGGAAATTGAAACGAGTCTGACTGGAAAAGCTCAACAAGCAACCGTCCACGAAAATGGAGCTGAGATCACTCAAAGAACAGAACGAAGATGGAGTGGTGCAGAACGGGATCGATGGACACGGTTGGTAGGTCAATTGATAATCGATAAAAATCGACAGAATACTTCAAAGGACTAGAAAATAAGTGTACTGTAGTCAGGGAGGCGATCTTTCCCTGAAAGATGCTCTCATACCCCATTTAGAAGTAGTTCTTCTACTGAGGGCACAGCTAGTATGGCTGTTGTTCTCGGGATCTCCTTCTTGAGTGCTATCCACGAGCAAATATGTTAATATTCTAATGAATTGAACTTATGAAAATGTGATGTAAATATGTACCATCCATGCAGTGGGCAAGCAAACGAATCCAGCACAATATACAAAAAACGAGGAAATGAGTGCTGTGGCTAAAGCAGCCAAATTCCACTGTAACGACCTGTGGGATAGATTCCCACTCCGAACCAATAGGACCCAATCTTGCATAAGAACCGCCGACTGGGATCAGAATTTCAGGAGCACAGATAAAACTGCTTTAACACATTCACGACGACGCCCCTTTTCCACTTTTCGGTCGCGTGGGACGGACGCGATTTTGTGGGCGCCGCCGCCTCACCACATAACCGCAGATTTTGTTTGTAAATGAACAAAACATGAATGTCACAAAATAATTTCTGCAATGTCCAATGCGTAAAGATTATCTAAACATATAACAGTAGGATTTCGATCAGAACGACAAATAGTGGTTACGAAAAGAGAGCATTTATTCACTTTCCCCGTGAAGGAATTTAAAAGCATTTTACACTCGATTACGAGGTTTGCCCACCTATCTGTCCATTCCTAGCGCCTGGCAAGCGATTATCAGTTGGCAGCCCATATGGGCTGCCATCGTCCCAGGAGCGCATGTTGTTGGCAGCCCATATGGGCGGCCATCGGCGTGAATGTGTTAAGCATTGTTCCACCACTAATTCTAAACAGGTTCGGCGGTCGAGATCGTCAGCAGTTCTTAGTGATTGTTGGAAACATGGCGTATTTCAGAGGAAGGGCTTGAAAATTGACAGTTAACCCATTGCGGACCACCGTTATCTGTGCACATTTGTAGATTTTTGCCATCAGTTTTATCAGTGCCCAAAAATCTATCCAAAATCCTATCAATGAACAAGTATGCGATATATCTGGGTTGGAAAAGCTTACTGATGAGTTTGTAGATTGACAAAATGCTGAAAAAATCAAAGATTATTATCCTTCTCCGAACGGTGGCGTGCTGCACATGGTGCAGCACGCGGTCCGCAATGGGTTAAGCATACGTAACAGTCAAGGCATTAGGAATGTGCGGCAAACGCTTTTTTTCGTCCACTTTTCCAAGCGCTTTCGAAAGTGTAAATACTCAGGTAAGTACTTATCCTACAGAAAAAGATATGATGTAATGGGAAACCTAACCCAAAAACAGGGTTTAGTGTGGTTTGTGGTTTCATTTAGAGCCATAAGATGTTTTTGCTGTTGAGAAATCGAGACATTCTGTATTGCTGTCAGCCGGAATCGGCATTGCATGAAATTTTCATAGAAGTCTTCGGATATCCATAAAATCATTTCATTCCATTTTTACCTGCTCTTCAGATTCTTCAGATCATCGGATCTTCAGATACTGACGAATTCCGCTTTCAAAAGATCCGATTTCCGCTTTCCGAAGATCGGTCTTCGAAGATCAATACATATTCGAGAGCTGAAGATCAAACAAAATACTTCATTTCTCGTCATAAATGATCAAATTCGAATCAATTTTGGATCGTTGGTGTGAGCAACTAAATTCAAGTATCCGACAGGAGGATGGAGGGGGACGGCAGAAAACAGCAATACACGCGTAGGCGTCGGCGACGGCGACAACGGCATGTCGCTGTCAATCTCTGTGTATAATTCGTATCCGGCTGGCATAACTCATTGAAAAAACCCGGTGAAAAAAAAGGAACACCGCTGCTTCATCGTTCCAGTGCACTTGCAATGACATGAAAAGTGCCGCGGGAAATATAAAAACGGCCCGACATGAACACCTCGGATTCCCAGGAGCGTTGGTGATTTGACGGCGGATGGCCTGTGATTTATTACGAGCAAATGCTTTAGCAATGAGATAATCTCGTGAAAGTCTGATAACGTTAACGCTGCTGAGAACAGTCTGTGTAATGGCACGATTTTAAGACTCCTATTAGCCGCGATCAGATAGATCCGCCCACTAAATTAGGGCTAAATCTGTATTTGGTACAAAGCTTAAGAAGAACCAATAACGAAAGGAAGGTGAGGATGCGACTCATGACCAGCTTTCCGACTAGCTTGCTTAGATCCAAGAAAGGGAAAATCGAGCAGACCAAGGAAAAATAATGTGTATAGCAGGACTAAGCCATCTATTTGTCTTTCCGGCAGGCAACACAGACAACGTTCAAGTAAGATGTCTAAGTCACTTGAAACAACAATGAACTAGTAATACTATTAATCTTGAATGAATTCGAGCAACACATCGTAATCTCTTTCAAAATTTGTTGATGCTGGTCACGAAGGCCGCTAGACGAAAAACAATGGCCGTTGTGCGTGTATCATGTTCTAGCTAACACGATCTCCACGTCAAAACCAGGAAAAGCTCTTAGACTGCTCGTGAAAACTTCAAGGTCAGACCTCAGTGATCAGCTGATCGGAGACTCCTCGCTGAAACAGATCAAGTGTCAGGCAGGTAATTGACACGGGAAGAGGCAGGAACACGTCAGAGTGTTCATCAGAGAAAAAATTGTGAAAGGCGACGAGGAGGCGGAGGAATGGGTTCTTGCCGCGTTCCTCGGGAGGCTAATGAGGAACGGGGGAGAAAAGCCCGAACTAACCAATGATTCCGAGAGCAACGCCTCGGAAAATCGCATACGCTCCTGCCACTGCGTTTGTTAGAGCAGTGTGAGAAAGGAATGCCGTCATCAAAGGCAACAATAATAACATGATAAGGATAGCTGTCAACAATATAACAACCAGTCCTACCATTCCAAATGGTCAGACCTTGAATGAAAGCAGACCCTAAAAATACTCGCTAAGCGCGAAAGCTGTTTCGTTCAGCAGTCACAAATACTGAAAAGAATTGAGAGCGACTGTGGTTAGCCGATTGACTTTTATTTCATTCACTTTACTTTACTTTTGCGCCTTTCATAAAGGGGAAAAACCATGCCACTGAATGAAAAATGGATGGCCGATTTCAGACAGACGGCCGGATGAGTTTCGATGACGATGACGATGCTGATAATGATGGGGCCTCAGCGAGGACACGTAGGAAATGGCTGCTCATTTTCGATTGATGGAAGGGATAGATAGGCTGACGGGACCAAACGGACGTACCAGCGCCTTTCGCCGTGTTGTTTTCACAATATTGCATTCAATGTTTTTGAGAGAAGTTAGAGAAAGAGAGATCCATACCCATACGTTCTTTCCCACATCTGATACCTATCCTCCACCGACCTTCGTTTTTTCCATTTCTTCATTTCCTCTCCTAGGTCCATTTCGCCGCTCCAAGTTCTCAAGTATGGAAATGATCGGCGGAATCGCGAATAATTTGCTTTTCCCAACACGAAACTGCTTACAATGCATGAGATGTCCTTCATCATTCACGAGCTAGCTACAGTATGACGCCAGCGAGGTTCCAGAAGTATGTTTCAAAAAAGTTCAGGCAACAAAGCGAATACCGCGAGAGAAACAAATGGAAAGAAGGGAGAAAATCGAGTGAGAAGAAAACGAGTGGGCGCATATTCAATTCTCACCACAAATAGACGAATATACATAAAAAGTGACTCATGGAATGTTTTTATAGGTGAGTCTGAATCACAAACGATCGAGTCATCAACCATTTGAAACATTCTGAGGATTTTTGGTTCCTGATGCTGTCCGCTGAGAGAAATATCTTACCCTTGAACTTAGTATTTGATGGTACTCTTTGAACTTATAGATTGCAGACGACGAACCGACCTGCGTGACCGATGAATCAGACTCATTTGAAGCGCGGGTTTCGGAATGATGAGGCACAGTAGAGGAAGATGCAATAAAAAGCGAGACTGGCTTGACAAATCGTCCTTTCAGACGAAAATAGGGCACTATTACTTTGCACAGAAGTTGATGAGACCAGGCCAAACAAGACAACTGCCCGATAAGATATCGCATTGTCAGCCATGGCACTGCTGAAGTCAGAGGTGTGTGACAAGGAGGTGGGCAGGAGAGAATTTCGTAACGCGCGCTTGAAGACTCATCTGAGCCGTCCGCGTCCATTTTTGCCCAGCAGTGAGTGGCGGTGACCTTATAAAGAGGAGAGGGACAAAAGTGGCCGTATCGCAGCTGGTAACAAGAAGTCGCATGCACGATGACGGAGAATGAAAAAAAGTACGATGAACCAACTGACACTAACATAGAAGAAACGGATTACTTGACATATTTGACATACTTGTAAGTAATTGCTGGACATGTTGTCCGTCAGTCAAATTGACGCTTCTGCCGGCATGGGTCGTCGGAGAAGACGAATAACAGCATCAAATGAGTGTCACATACGTGGGGCGGACGGACGCCTTGGGATTGGGATGGAAAATGAAAGTATTTGCTGTAAATTCATCGTCCGCAATCAGGGTTCCTATTGCCTGTTCATGCTTTACACATGCTCACAACCAACCCAGTCCTGCCCTACTCCTCCTCATTTCATTCTCAACGCGCCAGGCATCGGAAAGGATGGGA